CAATGTACATTTTATTTCATTTTGTTTTCAAAAAAAAGTTACAAGAAGTTTGAGGCCTCTGAAACCTAAGAAGAGGGTGGGGCCAGAGGTGCGGAGGTGGAGGGGGGCGGGCTAGTGGAGGAGCCGGGGGTGGAGCCAGGGTAGGGGGCGGGGCAGGGACAGACTGGGGCGAAGCCCTGGAGTGAAAAGGCATTGGAGAACCTGGATTTTATTGGCTTTATTTAGTACGCCAAGAATTTATGATTATGGAGGGTCACTGAAGAATCTTAAGCAATTTGTTGTCTTGATTAGTTTCTGCTATACTTGGACAGTTATTTAAGGTAGAACTGAAGGTGATATGTGATGGTGGTGGAAAACAGAAGCAGGAAATCAGGAGAGGGGATTTTGCATTAATTCCACTGGAGCTATCTCTCGTCCTCTAAGCTCCCATTTTTCCGTAGATACAACCCGCAGCACCTGTCCTTTCCGTCTCAGGCCTTTCAGCTCTGAGATTCCTGCTTCGGTTTGTTGTTCTCCCCACATCAGAGGCTAGTCTCATGTTTTTAATTCTGCTGTGTAACCACTATTTACCCAGCTGATTCCAAACCTCTTGGTAAGTAGCCCTTCCTTGTGTTTCATGGAAAAATCAAGGTTATCCAATGAGCAGACTTGATTTGTCCCTGCAAGCTAACAGACCTAATTCCATTTGTACAATCACTCACTCCTCACCTGTTTCCGTGGACTGACTAATTTTTTCCATCTGAGCCTGATTGTCCACTAGAGCGCATCATTTAGCCCATTATCTTTTTATTTTTCTACTGGCTCTTTCCCCTTCAATGTAGCAAAAGAATTCAAAGCATTACCCCCTTTTGACTTCAAGTCCTGTTATAACGGTTTCTCTTTTTCATTAACTACTAGTTTCATGAAATGGTACCAGTTCTTGTGTAGCTAGTGTTTACTACTTTCTACACTACGACCTCTCACCTGAGAGAGTGACATGTTGGTCCAGATAATTCTTCATTGTGGGCACTGTCCTGTGCATTGTAGGATGCTTAGCACATCTTTTCAGCTATTTGTAGCATTTTTCCAGTTGTGAGAACCAAAACTATCTCCAGATTTTGTCACATAATCCCCAAGTGTCAAGGTCACCCTAAACTGAGAGTTCTGTTCCAAAATATACAAGATAATCCACTAAGCCAGATGTGTTTATAGATCTCCTTGTTGCCAAACAGGCCTTTTATGAATCCTTAATCACATACTTCATTGTTGAAACTCTTCCCCCTTGACTTCCTATATATCTTGGGTTTTATTTGTATTTTCTTTCTTTTTGTCCCAACACATCCAGTTCCTTTTGGAATTCCTTTCCATTCTTCAACTCAAAATGGCAGACATCCCAGGTTTCTGTTTCCTTTATCTTGTTCTGCGGTTAACTTCACTAATATTATTGCTTCAGCTATCACATGTAAGTTAATGAGTCCAAACCTCTATCATTAGCCCAGTGGTCTTCTGACTGCTAGACTTATACATCCAACAGCTTACTGGAATCATCACTTTGGGCAAATATTACACACTTCAAACTCTACTTGTCCAGAAAAGACAAGGTATATCTCCAATCAAAAGTCCTAAACCTGGGCTGGAGAGATAGCTTACAATTAAAAGCACTGGCTGCTCTTGTAGAGGATCAGGGTTTGATTCCCAACACCCACGTGGTGACTAACAACCATCTGTAACTCCAGTTCCAGGGGATCAGATGCCCTCTTCTGACTTCCTTGGACATTGCACAACACAGATGCACCTATATACATGCAGGCATTACACGCATACACATTAAATAAAAATAATAAAATATTTTTTTATTTTATGTGTATGCACGTGTTGCCTGCATGTAGGTAAGTGCACCCGTGTCATGCAATGCCCTCAGAAGTCAGAAGAGGCTGTTGGATCCCCTGGGACTGGAGTTACAGACATTCTTAGCTGTCATGTGGGTGCTGGGATTCAAACCCGGGTCTTCTGCAAGAACAACCAGTGTTCTTAACTGCTGAACCATCTCTCCAGCCCCAATAAATATTTAAAAATGTCCTAAACCCAAGAAGTTGAGTTTTGTAAACCTCTCTCTTATTTATTTATAGACAAGGTTTCTCTGTAGCCCCAACTGGCCTGGTACTCACTATGTAGACCAAGCTAGCCTCCTCAATCTCACAGAGATCTGTCTGCCTCTGCCTCTGGAGTGCTGGGATTAAAGGTGTGCACTACCATGCCTGGCCCTGTGACTCTTGAATGGCAAGACCATTCAACGACTTACCTTGCCACCATACACATGAAAGACTCCGAGCTTCTCCTGCTCCTTAACCCTATATACCATTAGCCACCCCTTCCTTATCTTTCACATCTGTCTTCTCATTCTCATTTCTACCATCCTCATAGTCAATTGTCATCCCAGCTGGTTTTCTACCCCAACTCTTGTCTCCTTCCCAGCCAACCCTCTACTTTGCTTCTATAATTGTGTCTAATAGTCGTCTCATTATCATTGCTCACATTCATTTTCTTTAATGGCTTGCTATAATTTTATTTATTTATTTATTTATTTATTTTTTGTCTTTTTGAGACAGGGTCTCCCTGTAGCCCCAGCTGTCCTGGAACTCACTAGGTAGACCAGGCTGGCCTTGAACTCACAAAGATCCACCTGCCTCTGCCTTCCAAGTGCTGGGATTAAAGGTGTGTGCCACCATGCCTGGTGGCTTGCTATAATTTTAAGGAGAAAGTAGTTAAAACTTCTCTTAGTCTAAGCAAAACACAAAACAAAACAAAACCTATCAAAACCTTTGATCCATTTCTCTCTCCTCTTCTCCCCTTGTCTTTTGCTTACCCCTAGTAGGAAATTTGCCTCATGTATAAGATTCTGTATCTTAACACGTGCGGAGCTTTCTCCCCAGGTGCCGTCTCTGTTTCATTTAGCTGACTTTCCTCATGTTGACCAGTTTAAGCCTTACCTCCTCTAGGTTTCTCTGAGGTGTTCTGTTTTCATGTTCTGTCAGCACTGTCATGCCATCTTAGCCCTTCCACACTGAGTTTAAAGGATAGATTAACTTCCTGGACCCTATGAAAACACTGCCCGTAGGATGTGTATTTAGTACGTGCAGTGTCCAGCACAATGCCTAGCAAATAGCAAATACTTGATTAAACATTTATTAAACCCCCAAACACCAAAAGCTCAGACAGGTGGAGAATATGCAGAGGAATATCTCAGAGGCAGAATTGGATGGGTTTATTATTTAATTAGAGGTAGGCAAGAAGAAAGAAATAATAGCAAAGATGACTTTGAGGTTTCTAGTTTGGATAACTTGATACTGCTATTGACAGAGACAGGAAAGGATGGGATGTCTGGGGAGCAGATACAATATGCTAAAGATATCTATGACCACCTTTTAATTATCTGGTAGTGATACTAAATGTTTTTTTTTAAACAGGTGAAATAAATTTTAACAATATGTTTTATTTAACCCAGGGTTTCTCAACTTTGATAACACTTTGGGCCAGGGCTGGGGTTGTGGTTCTGTGATAGCATGCATGAGGCTCTGAGTTTGACCCTAAGCACCACAAAAAGAAAACAAGCAAACAAAAGAAGAAACAGTTTGGGGATAATGCATTCTTTGTTGTGGTGGTCTATCCTGTGCATTTAGAGTGTTTAGCAGCAGCATCCTTGACCTCTGCCTAATAGATGCTCATCCTCCCTGAGTTAGGACAACTGAAGAAGCTCCAGATGTTATTAAGCGGTCTCAGGCGTGGTGGGAAGAATCATCCCATCTGTATTTTGGCATGTTCAGATTTCTGTGAATTAGTACTTGCAGTGTCCCAGCCAGAGTTCCCAGTCTATTTAATACCACATTTGATCTGACTTCAGAAAAAATTCACCTGAAGAGCGAGGTGTCATGATCTTTACATCAATAGTACATATGATTTGGGTATCATTTGTTGTGAAAGACACTAAAGATCGTCTTAAGATCCATTAATTTAATCCCCAAATTGGAAATATTTCAACATAAAATCAAGAGTAAAAAATATTGAGATTTCCCATTTTTGTACTGTATTTTTGAAAGCTGATGTCTGTTTTTCACTTAAAGCACTTGTCAATTCTTATTAGCTACATTTCAAGTGTTCAAGAACCGAATGTGGCTAGTGCCTCTACCTTATTGAAGAACGCAGGTCAAAGCTTTAGAAAAAAAAAGGAGAGGGCTGGAAATATAGGATACAGTGTCACGAGTCAATAATGAAATCGTGGGTGTCGACAATCCAGGTGGAATTCTACATTTAGAGCGAGGCAATTAGGAAAACTGGGAATTTGACTCAATGCTCTTCCATTTTCCCTTTGTTTATAATTTAAAAGTACCTTTACTGAATAATATGGAGAACATGGGTGAATACGATTAAGAAAAATGAACTGGCGCAAAAGGAGCGAATTAATGCTTGTTGAGCATTTAATTATAAGTAATATTTGGAACTTTATATAAATCATCTTATTTCACTTCACAAATCCGCTTGAAGCATATAATGCTATCCTGGTTTATAAAAGAGGAAATTGAGATTTACAAAGGTGTAATAAATCAGAAAGCTCTTAGGCGGCATCACCGGCTTTTGACCGGAAGTCTACTGATTGACTCCAGAGCCCAGGCTCCGTCCTTACAGCTTCATAAGGCACACAATGAAGTATTTGCGACGTCCCGTAACGAAGTAAAAAGACTTCTGCGATTGTATAGCCAGAGTTCCCAGGTTATCTAATAACACGTTTGACCCGATTCTGGAAACAATTCACCTGAACAGTGAGGTTTGATCTTTACGTCAATAGCGCGACTAATTCGGGTAGCATTTGTTGTGAAAGACACTAAACCGTGTTTTTGTTTTGAGTATCGTTAAGTGTAGACAATAATTCTGTAGTTGTACTTTTTAGCGAAAAACTAACCAAGATGTAACCGGAATCATGTCTAAGTATCGTTGAACGCGTAAGTAACAAAGAAAATGAAGAAATGAGTTTACTTTTACCGTCGCCGGACTTGTCCAACAGACCCGTAAAGCGAGTACAAAGGGGGAGGGCCCCCGGCCAGGGGGCGGGACATCCAGCAGGAAGAATCTGAGCACGCGCAGGACCCAGATGTTAAGGAAGGCGTGAGGGCTCCGGAGCGCTCGCTTTGCGAACTGTCGTAAAAGGCCCCAAGTGTCGCGCTCGCGCAGTAGGGGAGGGCTTGGTCAGGCTGCGGCGGCGGCGGCGGCGGCGGCGGCTGCAGGGCCGGGAGATCGGCGGCGGCGGCGGCGATGGTGAAGGTGGCGGCGCGCCGGGGCTGCGCAGGGTAGAGACGCCGGCCGTTCGGGAGCGCGGGCACCCGTGTGTGGGCCTCGACCAGGCGCTCGGAGTCCGGTCGGGAGAGGCGGGCCAAGGCCGGGCGCTGCCGCACGCACGGTGGCGGCGGTGACAGACGCCGCTTCTGAGGAGAGCCACCGGGCCGGGCTCGGGGCGCGCTCCGCCTCCGCCTCCGCCTCTCCGGGAAAACCCCCCTGCTCGCCGCCTTCGCGGGTCAGCGATCCCCGGACCCTGTTCGCGGGGTGGCTAATGGTTAAGGTAAGGGCGCCGGGGGGAGGGGAGCGGCCGCGGCCGCGCGTGCGCAACGGGGGAGGGGCCGGCCTGTGGGGAGAAAGAGGAAGGGCCGCGGCGGCGGGGTCGGCGGCAGGGGGATGACTGCGGCTCCCGGGCCGGTCGGGCGGTCCCATTGTGTCGGGGCGGGCGTCCGCCCTGCTGACACACCCACCGCCTCCGGTGAGGGAGTGTGGGTGAGGGGAGGGCTCCCCGCCTCCCCTTCCCGTAGGGATGGGGGTTGAGGACCGAGGCGGGGACTGACAATGGAGGAGGAAGGCAGGGAATCGGGCTGCGGCCGTGGCCGCCAGTGGTGGGAGTCGCCACGCCGGCTCCTGCGAGGAGCTGGCTTCCTAGTCAGTGGGGAAGCAGCTGCTTTTGTCGTTGGGCTGCTCGGATGTGATCGGAGTCAGCGGCGTGCGGACGAAGGGGAAACAGGTCTGTCACCGCGTCCTAGGTTGTAAGAGCTTCACGGGTCTGCCTGGGCACAAGTGTTAAGTTTCAACGGTGAAAACAAATAGCAGGAAGTATAGGACATCGTTTAATTTGTTCGTGTCTGTAGTGTGGGGTGACTCCATTGTGGTGTTGGAAGCTTTCCAGTTCCTGATTGATGTGCGGAATGAATTTAGAACTCTGGTCAGTAGCAGCGAGCGTGTCGGCTGACAGACTTGATTGTGAGTTCTTATAGCCGTTGGACCTGACTTGATCCAAACTTTATTTCATTTGCCCTTTTATCTTGAATTTTCTTTTTATTTATTTTTATTTGTTTTGCCTGCATGCATGTACGTGTACGTGTGTAGTGCAATACCCGTGGAGGCCAGAAGAAGCCATTGGATCCCCTGGACCAAAAGTTAAAGATGGTTATTAGTCGACATGTGGGTGTTGGGAACCGAGCCTGGGTTCTCTGCAAGAGCAGCCCTTTAATTTACCTGTTTTAGGAACCTCGTTAACCAAACAGAACAGAGTGGGGAGAAAGATGAGCCGAGGCAGTTCCCTTTGCTTTCCCATTTATGTGTTTGTAAAAGCTATGGTGTGATTTTGAGATTGCATAGTTCTTTCCATAATCTTGATTTTACTTAGCTTTATTAGGGTAGTCATCTACATTACACTTTAAAAAAAAATTAGGAGTATTTGTGTGTGTCTTCTGTGTGGGTATGTGCATGTGAGTATAGGTGGCCTGCAGAGACCAGAAGACAGTGTTGGGTTCCCTGCAGCTGGAGTTACAGGCAGTTTCCAGTCTCCCTAGGAGGGTGCTGGGAGCTGAACTCGACCTGCTACAGTTTTTTTCGTTTAGTGAAAATGTTCATATTACTAGAAACAGTTTTCATTTTAAAGGGTAGTCTTTGGTTACATTTGTAACACATAAGGAGGAAGCATTTCAACTCTGAAGAGAAGCTTAAATTTTTGTTGTTGTTGTTGTTGTTGTTTTGGTCTTTTTGAGACAGGGTCTCCCTGTAGCCCCAGCTGTCTTGGAACTCACTATGTAGACCAGGCTGGCCTTTAGCTCACGGAGATCGCCTGGCTCTGCCTCCCGGGTGCTGGGGTTAAAGGTGTGCACCACCACGCCCGGCTTAAATTATTTTTAAGCTTTAAATATACTCTCTGACCTTTTAACCTTGGACAAATTTTATTGTCTCCTGCTTGCTTTCCACCTAAAGATTCTTAGTATTTGAATAAATGAGATATTCATGAATTGGACTTGATAATAATATAGGAAAAATTAACAAGACGAGGCTTGTCAGGATTGTTGTCTTTTTAAAAAAATATTTTATTTATTATTTTTATTTTATGTGTATTTGTGTATTGCCTACATGTAGGTAAGTGCACTTGTCTTGTGCAATGCCCTTGGAAGTCAGAAGAGGCTGTCGGATCCCCTGGAACTGGAGTTACAGACAGTTGTTAGCTGCCATGTGGGTGCTGAGATTCGAACCTGGGTCTTGTGCAAGAACAGCCAGTGTTCTTAACTGCAGAGCCATCACTCCAGCCCCAGGATTGTTGTCTTATGTGTGTGGTTTTCTTCTTTCACTTTTCCTATGGGTGTCTGTTGGTCACTTGTGTCTTAGATCTTTAGAAACAGCCTCTAACTCCTAGACTCAAGGGATCCTCCTTCCTCAGCCTCCTGAGTAGCTGGGACTACAGGCTCCTGCCATTGTACTTGGACTTAGAGTTTGCATTTGAAGAAAAGTATAATTAAAAACATTTTTCATTTTAATGAAAATATATTGTAGCAGAAGTTAGACCTTGGCAAGCTTCACTTCGGTACTCCATATTTATTTATTTTTACTTTTATTTTTAAAAATATGTATTTATTGTTATGTTTTATGTGTATGTGCATATTGCCTACATGTAGATAAGTGCACCTGTGTCATGCAATGCCGGTGGAGGACAGAAGAGGCTGTTGGATCCCCTGGAACTAGAGTTATGGATAGTCGTTAGCTGCCATGTGGGTGCTGGCATTCGAACCTGGGTCTTCTGCAAGAACAGCCAGTATTCTTAACTGCTGAGCCATCTCTCCAGCCCTGGTACTCCTTATTTATATGTAATGGAGACATAGTTATGCTGATGTTTATAGTTAGGGAACAACAGTTTACTTGTGTAAAGCAAAGGAGTAGTCATTTAGCAGTGCTTCTAAGAACATATTTTTCTTTCAAGTTGAAAATGTAGACCAGAAAACTTACTGAATCAAACCATTTAGAGTGTTAATGTTTCTTTTATTTATGTCATGTTAAGAAAGGGCTTTAGTATTAATCTTTAGTTATGGCATATGTGCTCCTGCTTTGACTCCCCCCTCCCTCATTGACTGGAACTTCAGTAGCAGGAAATATGACAGTTCAAAAAATAATAGTAATTAAAATTTGCCGGAACTTGACGTTAATGTTCTGTGAGTGACATTTTCTTAGAAGAAGAGTGTAGGACTAGAGAAAGGCGATCTGGATTTTAGGTGTAACTTGGCTGTTATATGCTAGATCTGGGCTTGGGCTTATACCTTTCTCAACTGGTGTAATGAATATAAGGTAGATAAATGGTGTTTATTCTAGGTGCCTATTTTTTGGGGGGAGTGGAGTATGGGTCCCAGATTTAATGAATTCTACTTTTAGTTTGGTATTCACTGTTGGATTCATCCAGGATCAAATCTCCAGAAAGAAATATTATATTGAGAGTATGAATTCCTTCTTGATGCATATATGCAAATAAAGGAGTTTTACATACATGCATGAGCCAATGATAAAAGCCATGCTTTTTGTTCCTGGTGCTGTCCATTGTAGAAATCACTCAAGGTTTTTTTGTTTTCTTTGTTTTTTTGCCTGGGATTGGGTCTTGCTATGGCCTGGTTCTTAATATATAGCCCAGGCTGGCCTGTAAGTCACAACAATCCTGCCTCAGCCTCTAAAGTCCTAGGATTACAGGCATGAGCCAAAGTGTCCTGCTTTAGCAATTTTTTATAGTTTTGAGGAGGTTCTTACTATGAAATTCTTATTTATTTTTTTGGTCTTTTTGAGACAGGGTCTCCCTTTAGTCCCAGCTGTCCTGGAACTTACTATGTAGACCAACTTGCCTTTGAACTCACAGAGATCCACCTGCCTCTGCCTCCCAAGAAATTATTATTATTATTATTATTATTATTATTATTATTATTATTTTGTCTTTTTGAGACAGGGTCTCCCTTTAGTCCCAGCTGTCCTGGAACTTACTATGTAGACCAACTTGCCTTTGAACTCACAGAGATCCACCTGCCTCTGCCTCCCAAGTGCTGGGATTAAAGGTGTGCGCCACCACGCCTGGTGAAAATGTTTTTGTTTTTTTTTAAAATTAATTTATTTGTAAGTGTTTTGATTGTTGGTATGTATACTGATAGGTGTGTAGTGCCCTGAAAGACCTGAAGAGGGTGACAGAGTCACCATGTGGGTGCTGGGAATTGAACCCTGGTTCCTCAGAAGAACAGCAAGTGCTCTTCATGTTTGAGCTATCTCTCTAGCCCCATTGCTTTGGTCATTTTGAGACAGGGTCTCCCTGTAGCCCCAGCTGGCCTGGAACTCACTAGCCTTGAGCTCACAGAGATCTGCTAGCCTCTACCTCCCAAGTGCTGGGATTAAAGGCCCGTGCCATCAGGCCTGGCTCCCATTGTTTTGTTTTTGAGACCAGGGTCTCATATATCCTAGGCTGTTCTTGAACTTGCTATAAAACTAGGGAGTACATTGAATTTTTTATCCTCTTGCCTCTACCCTCTTAAGTGCTGGGATGACTGGCATGAGCCACCTCACTGTTGATAAAAATGAAACTTTTAATTCCTTTTCCTAACTTTTTTAATGTGTGAGTGTTTTGCTTGCATGTATGTAAGTGTAGCTGTGTTGTACAATGCTTGTGAAGGCCAGAAGATGGCATCAAATCCTCTGGAACTGGAGTTAAGGACAGTTGTTTCCTGTCAAGTTGATGTTGGGAACCAAACCTGAGTCCTCTGCAAGAACAGCAAGTGCTTTTAACTGCTGAGCAGCCCTGTGATATTATTTTTAAAACAGTCCTAAATAACTTACTTTTCTTTCAGAAACTTGGAATTATTCAGCAAAGTCCAGAATTACGTTTGAATACCTTGCCCTCTATTTTTTCTTCTATTTCCCAGATTGTTGTTAATAGTGTGCCCAGGTTTCTCTTGGTATTCAGAAATTACCGTTAGATGAAGAACAAGCTACAAATGTCTAAAAACACTTCCTAGAGCTTACACTTCAAGTAGAGATACATTACGATTTATTCAGTAAGTATTTATTGAATGGTTCATGTTGTAGGTACTGTCACTGGTCTGCAGTAACGAAGGAAACTTCTTATAGTGGACATTCTGTTGAGTGGAAATCAAATAAACAGAATAGGTAATGTTAAGTTCCATAAAAAAAATAAGATCATGACTAGAGAATGAATGGAAGTGAGGTTCTTCCATAGATTAAGAGACAAGGTACAGCCACCTTTTGTAGGTGATCTCAATGTCTAGACAGAGT